GAGAAGTGGTGCTCCTCATCTGGCTGGCATCCAGTTTCTTTATCACAAGGGCGCTGAGGTGGAGATGACTGCGGGACTTGTGAAATTCGCGTTCACATCTCTCTCGTTTGCACAGTCCCCCCATTAATGCGGCGCAATTATTCTGGTGAGTCCAAATCAAGAGGAGAGAAGAACACGGGACTCGAGTCTCGCTCTTATTCGGCTTTCTTAGCTGTGCAAATCCCCAACCTGTGTCTGGGTGTGAAACCCGAATATCTCAAGTGCAAGGAGAGCATGTTAATACTACCCGACCAGCGCATGATACACGCGCTTGAATTCTGACTTCTGAACAGGGAACGTGTGAACGCTTGAATGAGGTGATTGACTTACCCGAAGGATCGATTGATTACTGCGATGCGATCAGTTGATCCACTTGTCAGAATATCCGCCCCGGACGCTTGAAACTTGTTGGACGATTTTCAGTTGGCAAAATAAACTGATTGGCAAGCTAGTTTGGTTCTGCGAGAGACTCTCCTGAAACCCACTTGAATCTCACGTTTTCAATGTTTCCAGATGATTCATCAGCTGGATTCCAGGTGAGTCTCTTGCAAAACCAAATTAGTTTTCAAATGAGTGTTTGTCGCTAATTTCGTGCAATTTGGTTTCAAGTGGAACATAAGGTTGACGGAAACTCGGGGATGCGCCTACCTGATGAGCCCCAAGAAGGGCGGAACCAGTCGTGGGCTGTCGACGGATTTTCAGCAACCTTATGAGTATTGCGTTACGAGTTTTAATCAGTTTTGGGTGGTTGCGGACTTTGCTGGGTGCGCATTGTGACGCTTGTCAGGTGTTTGGACTGCGGATATGCAGTGCTGATGAACTCCAATAAGAACGGAACTTGAGTTCAGTTCAATGCTTCCTTTCGTGTGAGCTCATTGAATTAATTGCGCGAGAACGGGAGATGGGGTGTGTGAAACGAGGGTGATGTGAACCCGAACTGAGGATGTACATTCCTGTGGATTCATGCGCACACAACCAATGCCAGTGTAACGGTTATACTGTTTATGAGTGGGCACACGAGTCGTGTGTGTTGTTCGTGGAATTTCGCTTTGCGTCTTTTAAAAAGGGGACAACTGTTGCGCAATTCGTGGAGTCACTTTGTTACATTTGCTTGTATTTGACCAACGAATCAGTGGAATCAATGAATCTCTAGGAAAGTTTAAGAAGGCGCGTTCAGGAGAAGATGGATGTTCAGTTTTGAAAATAAGATGCAAATTAGAGTTTTGCTTCCCTGTCCAACGGTCTGTAGCCCGTCAGTTGGCAGTTCCTAACAAATAACTCTGCAGCGAAGGTCATCTCCCTTTAACCAGTAAACTTACATCGTGAGTTTAATTTTCCGGTGAACACACAATTATGTCTTTTCGATAATCCTCCACATGAACAGTATTTTTTGGGGGAATTAATCCATTACTTGTCGAAAAATTGCGGAACCAAATCAAGCGCTGCAACAATAGCTCTTCGGATTCCTCGTCCAAAAGGATCAACAGATGGGTCCCTTCTAAAGCCTACTTAGAAGTAACTTTGAACTCGAAAATCAAGTTCCCATGTCTGCCTAAAAGTCAACCAGAAATTCTTCACACATTCTCAGCGTTTTTCCATCCGTTTTCATGGTTGTCACAGTGCACGATACGATCACACATTCATGATGGAGCTTTCCCAAAGGAGACTATGGAAACTATCAGCAAGGTCAAATTCCAAAAGGCAACCTCAGAACGCTCGGAACCTACTGCTCCACCAAAATCCCAACAGGAAAAGCGGCAAGCATCCTGACCAGTCAATCATTCAATCAATTCAGCAAAAGCTGATGAGTGTTCATGCACGCCACAGAAGCACGACCGAATGTGATCAGCGTTCAGGCATTTCATAGAGGCACGATCGATGTTGACGA